CTTCTCTTCTCTTCTCTTTTCTCTTCATCCTTCTTTTGAAGGATGAGACAAAAGATTTCGTATTTCCTAAAATCGCACCAAAAATCGCCAGTGTAAACGGGGCTTAAGAAAACCGCGCCAGAAAACAAAAAGACCCAAGACCAACTAACAAGTATGTATTCTATATTGTTTTGTGTTTGAAAGTTCTGTCAATACCTATGTAGTTTTTCTTTTTATCAGTACTTATGGAACACCAGCCARCGTGGCGATCGTCTTGCAAAAAAGAGCGTGGTCTGCAAAGAGTCATGCAGCGAAAGGAAGACGAACAGCAGCTAGTCTCCTTTAAAGACATGGAAAGTGTCCTCCAGTCTTCATCGAGTGCGCGAGGAGGCTAGCAGCCTTAGACTGTAAATGATAGATAGTTCAATTTCTAAAAGAGTTTCATATGTGTTATTCTCTTAAGGTTGAAGAAGTAGAAGACTAAACCTCAACTGTCGTCAACTATCTGGTTGGCAAAAGGCTTTTGGACAACGGGGGCAGGGCTAGCCTGGTGAAGGGACTCACAGTCACCCAATTCAATCAGCGCGTATTGAATAAAGAAGAGGAGACTTAAGGTGCTGACACACGGTGCAACATTGCACGCAACAGGAATGTTGCAGCGTGTCTACCCCAAACTTGTTGCACGCAACGTTTTATGCAACAAATCTGAAGTTGAATCGCGCTCTACTCTTGCACCATTGTGCGCAACAAATTTCATCATGTGAACATGGCTGCAACATTACCTGCAACATTTTGAAATTTCCAGCCAATCAGCTTGCACCAAATTTACAACTGCTGGCCAGATATCTTAGCATAGCAGGCTGACACAAACGATGATTGCTTGATTTTGTTGCAATGTGTTTTACCCCAATTCAAATTTGTTGCTTGCAATGTTGCGTGCAATGTTGCTTGCAATGTTGCACGGTGTGTCAGCACCTTAACACTTGGGAGGCTTCCTACCGTTGAATAATTATAGAATATTTGACATATCTTTAATCGTTTATCATTTTTAATGTGATTTCAAGTATTCTTGCATAAGACAGGCTCGGTTTACGGAAGTGCTTTCGTGTTATTGCAGGAGGACATTGTATTTATATTTCCACACTCCTAACTCGATTTCCACCTTCTCTTTTAGGAGCACGGTATCTAAGCCCGACGATATGATTACTTCCGGAATACTAACGACCAAGAGCATTGTTCCAGCAGTACCGCCAAGACCTGTGCCTGTTGAAATAACCAAGTAAGACATTCATTAGAAACTAATAACTATTTGAGACCATGATTCCTAGAGTGAAGTCATCAAACCCGTGAAATAAATATTCGACTAACACACTTTAGTAGTCCGTAATTCCATTGTCTTCTTTTGTGTCTATTTGACTATTACACGTTGACTAGTATTTTTTATTTCACGGGTTAAACGCCTTCACTCTAATCGTGATATGCCTTGTTTCTTGAAGGCCTAAGAAAGATCGTGTCTCTTGGAATGCAGAAGACAGTTCAAGAATTTAAAGGCAGCTTCGACACAATTGAAGATTCTCCCTGCAAGAATTCTCAACAGGGAGGACTTCATTAGAATATTGCCGGCCATGTGGGCAAGAGAGTCGAGCAAAGAGTAGCAGGAGCGCTGCATCGAAAAAGTAAGGAGTTTGTAGAGATCAGCTCATAATGACTCCTGTTCTCTTGCTCGTCTCTTGGCCCTGTTCTTCCTCTAAAAAAAGTAAAGAGTAAACCAATGACACAGTCTTTCTGGTCAGGTCTGGATGACAAAAAAGTACCTTCCATATACTTCCAAGTCCTCTTTGAGACTTGTCTCGGAAGCCCCAATAGTGGTGGTGGTGAATGTTGATGATATTAGCCGTGCTGGTTTGATCATATTCAGCATGTTCATTTGCGCATTATAAATAAAAAATAGTAAAATAGCAACTGCTGATTTTTTTACATTTCATTTCAGTGCGATCAAAATAACCTTACTTAAAGAATATAAAACTGGCGCGCATGTCCCTGTACTGTTATACAAACACGCTGGGAGCTGTAGAGCACGAGAGAAGCAAGCTTAGCAACGACGAGGCGTAGCTAAGTGTTTTTCTTGCTTCTCGAGTGCTCTACAGCTCTCATAGTGTTTATATCACAGTACAGAGACATAAGCAGCAATTTTATACTGCCAAGAGAAAATTAACGAAGAGAAGGAATGTCTGGCATTCATGCTTGTAACCATCGTAGGCACCATTACCATTCCAGAAATATACAGATAACTTTCTACAAAACATTATAGCGCTATTGCGCGCGCTATTAAACGGATTTATAAAAGAAGTGTTATGAATGTCGCGTTCTGATTGGCTTAGAGCGCGCGTGCTTTATGAAGGCAAAATGCACGCGCGCGCACTCTCCGTTGCGTCATTCCTATCTAAAATAACGGTTATTGTAATTTGTATTTCATAAAAGAAATAAAAGAACTTGCTTGCTGTACTGTTTGGCGTTATAAAGAACTTGGGGATTGGCAGAACACTCGAGAAGTGTCCAGAACCACTCCGCTACGCGTCGTCCTTCTCCTAACACTTCTCTCGTGTTCTGCCAACCCCCGCGTGCTTTATGACTGCACATAGCACGCGCGCGCGTTTTCTGTTTCTTGAATAGAAAACGCGCACGCGTGCTGTGTGCAGCTACAAAGCACGCGGGGGTTGGCAGAACACGATAGAAGTGTTAGAAGAAACACGACGCGTAGCGGCGCTTCCTTAGTGCTTTATAACTGAACGGAGCATGGAAAAAGCTGTTCTATATTCGTTTTATTATATAGTTACTAATGTTATTTCGATATTGAATTTATTTACCCAAAACGAAAGTCGGTCGTATCAGGATCTAGCAGCACTTCGCGCGCACTGTGCTCCGTTCAGTAATTAAGCACAGTTTTCGACCAATCATCGCGCGCGTACTATCCTAACTATTGAAAAAAAATAGAAAACGCGGGCGCGTGCTGCGTGCTGTGTGCAGTTGTGAAGCACGCGGGGTTGGCAGAACACGAGAGAAGTGTTAGAAGAAGTAGGACGCGTAGCGGAGTGCTTCTCTACACTTCTCGAGTGTTCTGCCAATCCCCAAGTGCTTTATAACTGCACACAGCACAGCAAACAGGTTTTTTATTTTTAAAAAATTACAATAACCGTTATTTTAGATAGGAATGACGCAACTGAAAGTGTGCGCACGTGCTGTGTGCCCTCATAAAGCACGCATTCCCAACCAATCAGAACGCGAGATTTATAACAGTTATTTAATACATGATAATTAGTTAATATTGTCTAGATACTGCTATTTWAAAAAAATGTTTGAGCCATTTTCCCGCAGTAAGCACAGTAGCTAGCCAATCATCGCGCGCATTACCTTWCAAATATTTTTTTATAAAAGAAATCATAATCATCTACAGTCTAGGGGCCAACTAACCTCTCCCTTAGGCTTCAGCCGACCTTCCTGATCAGGCTGTAATTCCTCCCGTGGATAGCAGTGTCAGGGTCAAAATCTCTGGCATAGCCGTAAATGCTTCGTGCTACCATACGACGCTACAGCATTCAAGGTCTCCGGTTATTTCTATTCAATCGATAAAGAAAAAAATATGCTTTAGCAGATGAAATATTAAATACATAAAGAATGTTATTATCAAATTATGGTGTTAAATGAATGGGATCTTTTTCGGAATTGAAAAGGTCCTTTCACTGGATGTGAACTCCATAGGACTATATGACTATTTCACATCCAGTGAAAGGACCTTTGTCTTAATCATTATTGAAAAGGTCCTTTCACTGGATGTGAACTCCATAGGACTATATGACTATTTCACATCCAGTGAAAGGACCTTTGTCTTAATCATTATTGAAAAGGTCCTTTCACTGGATGTGAACTCCATAGGACTATATGACTATTTCACATCCAGTGAAAGGACCTTTGTCTTAATCATTATTTAAAAGATCCTTTCACTGGATGTGAACTCCATTACACCAGCGACTGTTCATCTGTTATTTTAAGCCCTGAAGTACACTTCAAGTGAGACTTCATAGCTGGATAACAGGACGAAATCTTATTGATTTACTCTTTAACTTAGGAGCTAGAGAAGATGACTTTGTTTATCCACCTATTCTTTGATTGCACATTACATCATCGCGGCCATGTTGGTACCATTTAACAAAAGATTTCTCATTAGCATCCATTGTTAATGGCACCACAATGGCCGCCATGTTTTTGTCTTTTAACTCTCTTGAAAATGCTTGCAACCCATCAATACTGACAAACGGACGGAGTTTTTTTTTTTACCATAGCTGGTTATGATAACATCAACCACAACCCAAATCCCCCTACTGCACGTAACTCATTCCTGGGACTACTCATCAGGTGAATTTTATAGGCCAATGTCGTCAAAATGAGAGGAAATTGAATTATGGTCATCACGATACACCGATGTGCAACCATTAGTCCCAGAAGCAGATGTGTATGCTTCACCACTGACTGAACAAATGGAAACAGAATTTCCCATTAACCCTTATTATGGATATTATTAGAGAATTTTCATTTAATATGCCAAGGGGGGATGAAGATATGTGGTGGGGGAGGGGGG